GTGCATATATGCATGTGCATGTGTATGTATGTGTCCAAGCGTGTGCTCATGTGCATGTGTGTTACTGTGCATGTGTGTGTGTGTGTGCGCACGCGTGCATGCGTGTGTGTGTGTGTGTGTGTGTACCGAGTACATGGCAGCGTAACCTAGCAGCGTCATGAAGCCCCCAGAGTTTCTTAGCTCTGCGTGACCGTCCTCGTCCATCTCTGTCACCGCCGGGCAGTTTTTCTGGATCTGGCCACCACCATTATTAATAACCTCACTCTATTCTCATTTGCCCCCCCCGCCGGGGATATGAATTATTCTAATGGGGATAATTCTATTGTCTGCTCTCCGACTCCCCTGCGCTTCTTAACACGCGGGTCGAGGTGGATGAGTTATGTGTCTGAGAGGAGCTTTGACAGTGGAGCAGCGATCAGTCCTGAAGGAGTGGAGGTTTTGACTGGGAAAACATTCAGTCACCATAGTAGCAAATACATTATAGGATGTTTTTTCATGTTCAGTTTAGGTGTTTTTGTATTTTATGTTCAGTCTTTTACCAGCCGCTTTTTATCAAAAGCAGAGAATCAAATCGATTCCAAGCATACAATGAAAAACTGGATGAACTGGAAAAAATGTTATCTAAAAGTTAATAAAAACCCATACCGAGCGTAGAGAAGCGAATCAGAAAGACAAGGTTACATGATTTCTTTTTTTGCTTTTTATTGCTTAGTACATGTCAAGATACTGAGATAGTACATGTGAACTAAGTGCATTCTGCTGCTGCGGTTGCCTGTGTTGTGTAAAGGAGAATAACAGCTACAAGCTACCAGTTGGCATGACCCCACTCAGACACACGAGCCAACACGCTTTAATAACTGTTTCCATGGAAACCGCCATCCAAAAAAAAATCTCACATTTTTTGGCCCAGTGATATGTTCCAGGAAGGCTTTTTTTCAAAAGAATAATTAGTGTGTGTGATGAACTCATCTTCTCGCTCAACAGCCATCTCTGAAATACCTCAGATGGTTTAAATGCCAGAGCGTTGCGCATGCTTTGTTGTTCAAGTGTCTCTACAAGGGATGCTTTTCTTGGATTTGTTATCATTGAAAATCACCTGGCTATATTTAGATGAAGTCTGTTGATGATAAAGTTCAGAGATGTGGATTTGCTGATACGGTGGCCATTGTGGTCATTATCGCTGCTCTGTACCTATCTCACACTCTTAACTTGAAATAACATTTAACGGAAAAGGTTGTGCGATGCAAGCTTAGATCAGACATCAGTGCGTGACGCATACACACGCATGCATACACACACACACACACACTTTCACATGCACACACAAACATACCTTGTAACTGTATCTGTGCTACAACCATAGTACAATGCATTTACACTTTACATTATCTTTTGAACTCTCTCTATGAGAAGTTGTGAATAGTTGTCGATTGACTTTTCACTGTATTCTTTTTTTAAAATTCTTTATTTAGGGATAACAGGGATTTAAATTAAAAAAAGACATACATCAATACAGTAAAGCAGAGGTACAGCCGAGATTTTACACAGCTGAATTGGATTATTATGTAACATTTTCCTCTTACATTTTTTATTTATTACAACAATTGTAGGTTTCTAGGTAGGTTTCTTTGTACAGGCTGAGAAAGGTAGGTGTGTCTATATAGAGTTGAGAGAGGTTTCGACAAATCAAATATGGGGAGGGACAATAGAGGTGGGAGACCAGAAAAAACAGTGATGAGTTTTGTTTATAAGAAATAAAATAACAAACAGATTATTCATTGGTCACTTCCACAAAATCTGTCCGTAAGGGCCGCACATAAGAGACACATTTTGACTGGAATTTAATGAATGTATTTAGATGGAGTGAAAACATTTGTTTTTCCATTAGATATATTTTGTTTACCAAGTCTAGCCATGTGTCTGTGTGCGCGTGCGGGTATGTGTGTGTGTATTTTCCTGTGTGTGCATGTGTGTGTGTATGTGTGTGTGTTTTCCTGTGTGTGTATGTGTGTGTATTTATGTGTGTGTGTGTGCGTGCATGTGTGTTTGTATGTGTGTGTGTGTGTGTGTGTGTGCTTGCGTGTGTGTGTGGGTGTGTGTGTGTGTGCGTGCATGTATGTGTGTGTGTGTGTGTGTGTGTGTGTGTATGAATGACGGCGTAGGGACAGCGATGAAACATGTAGGCACGGGACAGTGGCTGTCTGTTCTTGGAGATCTGCAACGCTCCATCTGCTGCCACCTGCATTCCTCCCACCGGCCTAGCAACACCAGCCCCAGCTAACACTCTATGCAGCCATGGCAACCAACCATCACCACCACCACTCCTCTTTCCCCATTTGCTCTCTCTCTCTCTCTCTCTCTCTCTCTCTCTCTCTTTCTCTCTCTCTCTCTCTTTCTATGATGACCCCCCCCCCAACTGCTTTTCCATCCGTCTTCTGTCTGAAAGACGGTCAACATTTTTATTGACACGTATGTAGACTAACTTCATGTGTATTCTTAGAAATCTGCAGATCTCTACTTCATTATCTTGTCATTGTATCTGCTTTGTAAAATAGCTTAGAGAAATCGCCA